ACGGTGGAGCGAAGCAGCAGGACCGAGGAGTCCGTCCCAAACTCCGCCGCGAGGCTGACGCCAAACGGGCCCACCGTGTCCACCACGCTGTCCGCCAGCCGCAGCTGCGACCCCGCGCCAAAGGCGCCGTCAAACACGACACTGCCATCGTCCACCGTGGAGGCCGTCACGCTCATGTGCACGGCGTACTCGCTGTTCCCCGTGAGCCGCAGTCCCGAGAGCCTGCACCGCAGCAGCGTGATGTTGAGCGTCTGCGTCGTCGGCCTGAACTCGCCCAGGTCAATGGCGAGCGGGGAGGTGAAGTGCACGTCCACAAAGCAGAGCCCGGAGACGCCGGGGGTGGGGGCCGGCAACGCACTCACTGTGCCGCCATGCACGCACGGCACCTCGGCGGGGGCCACAGCAAGCGGCGGTCGTGGCCCAAGCGCCTTCGGGACCTCCGCCGGCAGACAGGCGTCGCCGTGGCCGCCGGCAGCGCACGTGCAGTCGCAGCCGTCACCCGAAGCCGTCGTCGTATTCCCGGGGAAGCACTCAGCAGGCCTCGCACACGCACCACACTCGTAATTCGTCATATCCATCTGCATGGCGATCCTCCTGTAGCTCGTCAGCGGCTCCCCCGCCAGATAGTTGCAGGTGACGTGCACAGTCGGCTCCACCGCCGCTGAATCGGAGGTGGGAAAGTAGTTCCACATGGACGCACCGCTGAACCCGCCTGGGGCACGCAGGAAGTTGTTGCGCAGCACCGACCAGGTGCTTCCCGCCTCCATGCTCACACGATCCACTAGAAAAACTGTCCGGACGCGGAAGTCGTTGTCGCGCTGCACCAACCAGGCGCCCCGCTTCAGGGTCAGTGCCCCTGTGCGCAGCACCGAGGCGCTCGGGCCAAACTTGTTCCCCGCGAACTGCAGCACACTCCCTTCCGCGACCGTGACCCCGTCACACCACCACGCGTCGCTGGGTCGCTCGGACCGCTTCACCCGCCAGGAATTGTGCTGGAGTGCAAAGACAGAGCCCCCAGCGACGGTCAGCTGGGACGCAAGGAAGCCCATCACCGCGTGGTGGGCGTTCATGGCGCAGTTGTCCATGTAGAAGGAGCTCGCCGCGTCCAGCGCGAGGTCACGCTCCACGAGGAGCGCGGCGCACGCGTCGCCCCCACACGTCAGCGTCGTCCGTGTCAGGACGAGCTGCGACGAGAGAAGTCGCAGGGCGTCCAGCACGAGGACAGGGCCGTAGCGCTTCCCCTCCGCCCCAGCCGTCACCGGGGCATAGCGCGAGCCGTTGACGGTGGCGCTCAGCGCGGCGTCCGCCAGCAGCACCCGCGACCGCGGCGGCAGCGTGCCCTGCAGCACAATCGTGCCCTCCGTTGCCGTCACATTCTCCATGCTCACAAGGACGCCAGGCATCAGCTGTGAGGTGTGCTCGTCGAGGCCCTTGATCCGCAGCTGCGCGCCTCCCGCGAGCAGGCACTGGCGCAGCGTCACCCTCAGCTCCTCCGCAAACGCGTCCATCAGGCGCAGGTCCACCGTCGCAGTGATTGGCCCACTGAACACGACAGCCTCGAAGCACAGCGTCGCCTGCTCGCCGCCAAACGTCACCGACTCCGTCACCGCAACGTTGCGCAGGCAGCCCCGCGTGTCACCGGTCGGCTTTGCAAGCGGGACGCCAGGCGGCAGGCACGCGGCACCGGCGCCCCCCGGCGAGCACTGGCAGGCACAGCCCTCGACGGAAGACGTCAGCGACGGAAAGCAGTTCAGGGCCGCCGCACAGCCTCCGCACGGCACAATCTCCACGGAGGCGAGGCCGTGCGTGGCGTAGTCGGCGGCGGTGTGCAGCATCGTGTCGCCGACGCGGTTGCACTGCACGGAGACGGCGCCGTCGCCGCGCATCTGCGGGCCGGAGACAAGCGTTTTGCCGGCCACGGCGCAGCGGGCAACGGACACCGCCCCGCCGCCGCCCACCGTCAGCGCGGAGAGGGCCGCCACGGAGGCGCCAGGCTGCGCGGCCCACACCCGGTGCAGCTCCAGCCAGCCGCCCTCCTCAATCGCCCCTCCGCCGGCCGTCAACACGGGGGTCTCCAGACGCGCGTCAACCCCGACGAGGCGCAGCACCGAGTGAGACACGGTGAGATGGTTCCCAAGTGCAAGGCCGCCGCCGCTGCTCGTGACCGACGCGTTCGTCACGGAAAACACGGACTGGTACGCCAA